ATAATAATAATAAAAATAATAAAATAAATAATAATAATAATAAAAAGATAATAATAATAATAAATAAAAATAATAATAATTCGTTCAAATTTTATTTATTAGACATCAGGGTTAATACAATGGCAGTTATTAAATACTCACGTGAGGAGAAGATGAATCAGCTGAGAGGTGAGACCATGAACACCATGAAAGGGCGTCGTGGAAGCTTCGCAAATGGCCTTCAAAAGGCATGCCTTGCCTGACTGGGAGTCACCAGCTAGAATCGACTCGAGGATTTCGTATATTTCCCATCTGGTAATGACACGTGCTGGCAACATAAAACGTCGTGGACCGTTGAGAGAAAGGACGATTAACGGGTTCGAAAGGACGAAAGCTTTAGACTTGAGATCCTCGAGACGCTAGGCAGGCAGCCACGCAACAAAAGTAACCTCGTTAATATGTAAAGGAAGAGGATCCTCTCCTTATCCCGTTGAGCCGAGCTGAGATTTCTGGCTCTACGGGGTAACCGTGCGGATTTGTAGAAATCAGTCTCCTACCGTAGGATCCGTCCTCTTTTCACGAGACATAAAATCCGAACTACGTCACTCGAGTAGGATCATTATAGTAAATTATACTGTCCATGAGACTTGGTCGTATGTTTATTCATACTATTTATACGTTCTGTTATATGGAGTATGCGTACCTTGGTTATCAGGCTCCGGTTCGTCGTTCTCATTGGCCTCGACACCGGTGCTGATCGATCTGTCATAGCGAACGTATGGCTCCGTGAAGTAGGAGGCGTTATAGGGCAGGACGTAATTAAATTTCACCACATATCCGATAATCAGGCTGACGTCGACTTCCATGGGTAAACCGAGGCCGAGGATTAACTGGAACGGTTTTCAAATACACGAAGGTGTCATTGAACGAACACGGGTGTATAATAACCGCCAATCGAACCAGCGGACCACCCGCCAGCTTCGTGTGTCCGATGGCTGATGTTCGTTTCCGCAAAATCAAGGCTTATATCGTTACGAGTAGATTGCGAATTTTATGAAATTATAAAAAAATTCAATGTGCAGACCTAATAAATGCTTAAGGCTTTCATGGCTTAAATTTCAAGGCTTAAGAATGGATTGGCTATACAGTCAATCTCAAAAGTTTATGTACT